GCGCGGCCACGGCCCCGCCGCCCGCGTCCCCCCGCACGGCCCCGCTCCGCAGCACCGGCCCCCGCGCCGCACCGGAGCCCCCCGACATGCCGCGCCGCTCCTGAGCCCCGGCCGCGCCGCGCCCGCCCCGTCGAAGTTTTGGGGAAGGTGCCGGTGCGGGGGGGAAGAGGAGGAGGAGGAGGAGGAGGAGGAGGAGAAGCGCGGCTCATGCCCGCCCCGGAGCGCGGCGCTCGGCGCGACCAGGTGGGTGCGAGCGGGGCGCGGGAGGGTCCGCGCGTGTGTCCCCCCGCGTGTCCCCCCGCGCGTCCCCGCGCGGCTGCCGGCGCGGAGGGGGCCGCGGGACGGGCCCCCCCCCACCCACCCCGGGGCAGGTGCGGGGGGCTCCGGCCGTGCCCCGTGTCCCGCCCGCCCGGCGGGTCCGTCCCCGCGCTCGGCCGCGCCGCGCTCGGAAGTTTGTTGCGGCGCCCGGACAAAGGGAGCGGGGCCGGCGCTGGGCGAGCCGGGGGGGGCCGGGGCGCGGAGGGGCAGGGGCTCGGTGCGCACCGGGCTGTGGGCGGTCCCCGGGGGGGGCCGCGGGGGTCCCGGGGGTCCCCCGGGCTCGGCGCGCCCCGGGGTGCGTGGGGGTCCCCCCGGCTCGGGGCGGGCGCGGGGGTCGCCGCCGCCCCCGAGGCGTTTCGGCGGCCGGCGGAGGGGAGGGGGGGGGTTGAGTCGCAGCCCCCTCGGCGAGGGGGGGGGTCGGGCACCGGGAAACTTGCGCTGCCGCCGGCAGAGCCGCGCCGCCGGTGCCGGATCCGGACCCGCCTCCGCTCCGGCGCTTTGGGGGTCTGGCACCCCCCGAGGGGGCTGCGCACCGGGGGGGCCCGGCCGCCCCTGCCCTGCGGCCGCCCCGGCGCTCCCTTTGTTGGTGCTTCCCATTTTCCCCCCGTCTTTCCTTTCTCTCCGGCAGTTTTGGTTTAATTCCGGCTGCTGGAGGGCTCGGGTGGGTTTTTTTTCCCCCTTCTTTTCCCTCCCCCCCCGCCCCATCGCATTTTAACTCAGCGTCAACCCGCCGCTCCTCGGGCCAGGGGGTGCGATTCCCTCCTTGGAGAGAAATCCCTAAGTCTGCCCCAAGTTTTGCAATTCCTGGGAGAAGGAGCCGCTGCCGTCCCCGACAACCTGCAGCCAGCCCGGCCGTCGCTCCCGCAGCGCCCTGGGAAAATCCATCGCCGTGTCCAAAAGCGTAACCCAGACTGCAAGGTGAGGGAGAGGAGGACAAGGCACGGCTTCGGATGGAGCTGGAGAATATTCCCGAGAAACCCCCGCAGGTTTGGATTCCGGAGGGGGTGACGGCAGCCGGCTGCCCCGCGGTTCACCCGTGCCTGCGTTTCGCCCGCTTGTAAAGTTTGCGAGGGTTCGGTGTGTCTTTGTTTGGACAGGGAGCGAGGCTGGGGGGGTTTTCCAGGGCCTTGGGGGGTCCCTGTAGCCGGACACCGTGCCCGGTGCCGCGGGAGCTCGGGGCGGGTTGGCTGGGACGCCGCCGGCAGCGGCTGCTCGCGGCATCGGCAACAATAATGGGCTCGGAAGGAGTTTTTATTACGGAGCGTCGTCTTCTGGGAGTTCAGAAATTCCCGGGCAAATAGCATGTGGCAGAGCTGGTGGAGGGTCACCCGGAGCCCCAGATCAGCCTCTTCCATCCCCTTCCCGCCCCGGTGTCCGCCGTCGTTTCGAGATGCTCTCCCGGCGCTGGCAAAGTTCAGATTTTCTATTCTTCCCGGCTCCCTCTCCCTGGTCCGTGGGATAAACAAACGCGCCTCTGTCTCCTCTCCCCTCTCCCCCTCTCAAGGAGAAAAGGCACTTGGGGAAGTGCCGCGTTCGCAGCGGATGGCTCTGGATATTTCTTTTGGTGTAGGAGATCTGGTTTGAGTTGGCAGGCGCGTTCGGAGGTGTGGATGGGAGAGAACAAGTGGAGCGTAATTGGGTTTTCTTTTTCCATTTGGGAGTGATTCTGTTTTTTTTTTCTTTCCCCTTTTAAAACAGAAACGAGCCAAGGGCCGAGTCTCTCCCCGTCTCCCTCCTGTGCACTTTTTAATACAAATGAAAAATGTGCGGAGGAGAAAGCAGGAATAATTCCCAGGCGCCTGCGAACCCCACTTTGCTGGGAGTCGTGGTCGGGAAGTGTCCGCTTGGAAAACTTGCGCTGGGATTATTTTTTTTCTTTGCTGCTCTTAATATAGTCCTGGAGGAATTTGTGTCCGAATTCCTGCCCGGGATTGCTCCTTGGATTCAGGCAGCTCTTCCCTCCCCATCGGTTGATACCCCAAGATTTGCCTTTCCCCACCCTCCAAACCAACTTCCATTGGATTGAGACCTCACTTTTCCGCGAGCATTGTAAAGCTGTGGGGCAGACAATAAAATTGTTATTAGTTTCTGTATTAAAAGGTTGGGTTGTTTTTAACCCAAACCAGAAGGAGGATTTACTTTTACAAATTTCTTCTGGTGTGTTAAAAATTTACACGAGAAATACGTTCTGTGGAGAGCAGGGATTTGATGTTAAATCAACCCAACATGTGTCTGGCGCGGGCGGTGTGACCCGGTCCCGGGTGTCGGTGGGGACGTGTTCCCTTTCATGCCTCCCTGTATCCTCAATTAAACACAGCAGAGTCTCAGGGTTTTGTGAGATTTAACTCTAAATTAGGTGTTGTTAATTTTTTTTAATTTCCACCCCACCTTAAAGTCCATAAAAAAAATAAAAAAATTAACAGGCTCCAGGGGTGGGTGGATGGAGAAAATAATCAGATTTGGAAAAATTACCTCATTCTCCCCCTTTTTATTTATTAATATTTTTTTTCCCCCTTCAGGTCGCTTAAATCAAACTGCGAAGGGGGAAAATGTGGGGGAGAAGGGACAGAATTCCCCGTGCTGAGCCTGGGAGCTTTGTCAGGTCTGGGAGCCCTGGGAGGCTCCGGCTCCTGCCTTTCTCCTGCCCTTTGTGGAGCGGGGCTGGGGGCTGTGGGGAAGAGCCTGGAGCCCTCCTGCTGCCTCTGCTCCCAAATAACGCTCGGGAGCGCCCGGTTTGAGGTGCTCCCTGTTCATTTTTATTTTTTAATTTTAATTTATTAGTTGCTGTGGGTCCCCCCCCCCATCCCAAGCCCCTCTTCCTGGGGTGCTCGGGGTGGGGACGGGGGTGGCTCCGCTCCCAGCCGGGTCGAGCATCGCTCCGCTGGTTAAAAGCCAAGGCGGCCCCGTCGCACAGCACAAAGTTGGGTTTGGTGGGGGGGGAAAAGTGCAGGAGGACGGGATCGGCGTGGAAAAGCCCCCCCTGAACCCGAGCAGCCCGGGATGTGTCGCCCAGCGGGGTCAGGGAAGGCGAGGGGAGGGCGGGGGGTCTGCGGGCGGAGGGGGGGGAAGGCTGAGCAAACAGAGCGAAATGAAATAAAACGGATTAAAGTTGCTGCTGGGGGAGGCGGGGAAGGGGCTACTCTCAGCCCTGGAAAAAGATAATATTGGAAATATCTGTAAACGCCGTGTCCAGCCCCGCTCTCCTCCCTGGAAGCCGGGCGGCCGTAGGTTTTGCGTCCCCTTTGGAAAGGGAAGAGCAGGGAGCGTTTGAGGGGGAAGAAAAAAAAAAAATCTGTGCAATGTATAAAATCAAGTGACACTAAAATATCTCCTCGGGCCCTCGGCCTTTCTCTCCTAATAACCCGGCAGGAATGCGAGTGCACTCAGTTGTGAAGTTGCTGCCCGGAGAGCCCGGGAGCTTTTCTTTTCCGCCGCTGGCGAGGGGGATGCTTTGAGTCTGCTGATGTTTGTGTCTCGCTGTGGGGCTGGGAGGGGGGGGGGGCCCGGGCTCCGGCTTTCAGGGTTTTCTCTCCTTTTATTTTATTTTTTCCTCCCCCCTTCCCTTTCTCTTTTCTTGTCGGTCCGGCGGGGAGCGGGGCCGGGGGGAGCGGGGCCGGAGGAGGAGAGGTGCGGTGCTGGGCTGGCCTTTGTAGCAGCAAGGTGGGGGGCAGGCGGTGCCCCCGGCCGGGAACCGGCTCATTCTTCCCTCCGGAGAAAGGCGGGAGAGCCCGGAGGTCCCCGCGTTCGGAATTAATACACATTTATGGCTCTTTGCGCCGCGGTTCCCGCTGCACAGGCGGCTCTGGGAGCCTGAAGGATTTGGGAAAATTCCCTCATTGCTAGAAGGGAGAGCTGGGGTGGTTTTGCCGCTCCATCCCTGTTCCCCGTGGTGGGTTTGAAGCCTGAGAGAGCCCGGCATTGTGGCTGGCAGGTGGTTTGTGGGGGTCTCGAGGGGATGCTCCCTGTTCCTGGCATCTCAGCGTCTCCCTGGATGCAGGGGGGGCTCCCATCTCCTCCTGGGGGGCCACTCTGGGTTTATCCTCCACTCCTGAAGTGACCCTGCGGCCGCCTTGGTGTCACCTGCCACTTCTGGAAGTGGAAACTTGAAATTTCCTGTCCCTTCCTCTCTGATTTCCAGCTCCTCCAGCACAGGCACTGGGGTTCCATGGGGTGGGGGGCTCGGTTCTGCCCCAGAGAGGTGTTCCATGGGCATCTTCCCCATGGAGGGATGAGCTCTGTTAGTGGGAGAGGGAAGGAAAAAGGGGGAGAATCAAATCGTGAATGCACTCAGAGCTTGGAATTCCCTGTGTTTGCCTCGGGAGGTGTAAAAACCCTCCGTGAGCCACTCCTGGAGCTCCCGATGCACCTGATCGATATTCAGGGGTAGCTGCTGGCTCAACAGTAACCCCAGGAGCTGGGCCATCCCTGCCTGGTGACCCTTGGGGTGGCCCCTGGCCCCTCGAGCCGCAGGGCTGTGGCCAGTGCTGGCTCCTGGGCTCGCACCCATTTTATCGCCTTGCAAAACCTCCCCTGCTCACTGTGCTGCACCTTTTAAAGTCAAATAGAACTTGTAGATCAAGATGGGGCTGGGCACAGCTGGAAAAACTTCCTAATTTTTTCCCCCCCCCCCCCCCCCCCGCGAGTGTTTGTTGTATAAAATCCAGCCAAGACGCTGCTCAGGGTTTTTTTTTTTAAAACTTTTCCTAATTTAAACTGCTTTTGGCATCGCGCAGACGAGTCTCCACGAGAAAACATGTTGCTGGTGATCCGGCTGCCCGCGACAAAAATGTGTTTGCAAGTGGAATGGCATCGGGGAGAGGGGAGAACGGAGAGGCAGGAGCAGCAGAGCAGGAGAGCTGCTCCCTTCGGAGGCCAGCGAGGAAGAGGCAAGGACAGGCGTCCGTCCGTCCATCCCGTGATTTATT